GCCATACTTTATTCCACACAGCAGAAGTTCCCCATATCTTAGCTCTACTTTATTTCACACAACAGAAGTTCCCCATATCTTAGCCATACTTTATTCCACACAGCAGAAGTTCCCCATATCTTAGCTCTACTTTATTTCACACAACAGAAGTTCCCCATATCTTAGCCATACTTTATTCCACACAGCAGAAGTTCCCCATATCTTAGCCCTACTTTATTCCACACAACAGAAGTTCACATTATCGTAGACCTACTTTATTTCACACAACAGAAGTTCCCCATAGCTTAGACCTACTTTATTTCACACAACAGAAGTTCCCCATATCTTAGCCCTACTTTATTTCACACAACAGAAGTTCCCCATTTCTTAGCCCTACTTTATTCCACACAGCAGAAGTTCCCCATATCTTAGCCATACTTTATTCCACACAGCAGAAGTTCGTCAAACATAAAGCAACAAGTAGTGATGCAAAATTCATGTTTTCATGATAGGGTAACCTAGCAACCAGGACACGGTAACTTAGCAGCACTCATTTGTTGCTATCATTGTCTCTTGTTAATAGAAACGACTTGCAACCAAGATTGTTTCTAACAATGGTGATGTTATGTCTTCACAAGAACATTGTTTTCCATGTCTGTAGTATAAAATTAACTGCACAAGAACACAGTCACGGTTTACATTGTGACTGGCTTACAGCCAACCATTCAGACATTTTGATTTTTTTTACGATTCATCTCAAATAGTCACGACATTAAATAATTTTGAATTTGATAGAGAAGATGCTCACAAAGTAGCAACAAGTAGCGACGCACAATGCCTATAACAGTACAATCAGTCTTACTATTCTCAGCAGTAGTATGGTGAATGCTGTCATGAAATACTAAATGATAAACGTGTAGAAACCAAATTTCTAGCTGATGAAGTCTACTCTAGTTGGTGGGTTGAGGCAAAATTTCATGTTTCAGAAGAGGACACGTAAAACTGTTGGTAATTAAAGTGGTCCAAGAAGAAAGCCCAAACTCTTTACAAGTGATGTTGATGAACTCAGTGTAGACTATTTACGTAATGCCCAACAAACCAAGGATATCTTGATAATGAACTAGCTATCAGTAGAAGTATGAGTGTTATTTCCAGAACAGTACTTATTAGTACGAAGAGGCTTCAGTGTGTGTACAGCTCTTTAAAACACGTTGAATCAAACAAAAAAGCTGAAATGGACACCAACTTATAAGAATGGTATGAAAAAAAAGTCAAGGTGGGATGCTGTTTGTAGGCGCATCCTAATTCAGATTGTTTGGCAAACAATTAAAAACAGTTTATTGGACAGCAGATAGTAGAGTGGCATCACAGTAAACGTACAAAATATAAAGAGAAAGTATGGTCTCAGCCATTTTTTTTTCAGATTAAACAAAATTGATGTTACCTTGACTTCTGATTGGTACAGGCAGATTCTTACCCATTTCATCAGTAGCAAAACCTGTTAGATGGGGATTGATCTTCTTGAAGTGTAAATTGTAAACTTTCTAGATTTATTCCAAAGTATTTCTCAGTTTTTACGTGTCCATAAGTATGTAATTTTTGGGCATTTAGGTAGAGCCAGAAGCTGGGATGGAGATCGAAAAATCCAAGGTTTGATCCCGCGATATGATAGTGAATACTTTCCACTCTTTTAGCTATAGGAGTGTTAAAAACGTGGTAGTCAGTTGAGTTTTTTTTTGTTGTTCTATTTTATGCTAAGAGTACGGAATCAAAAATGTATTTTAAACTTCTAAAGAATTATCTTAATTGCCAACAATGATTTAAGGATCTCCAACACACATATTTTAATGTGTTTGCAATACTAGTCTCGGATATTGGTTAATCTTCCTGTATGTTTAGATGTTTGCTAAATCATTTGTAGTCTTAAATAACTATTAATTATTAACAGTGAAACACTTACCAAAGTACAGGGGAGACTCCTTAGTTGCTACATTGTCGTCTATGTAAGGGATTCCTAGAGTGTATACCGCCATGGCACCAATACCAATAAACAGAAGACTCATAAAGAAAATGGCAAGAACTGTGTTGGTGACCTTTTTATACTGGGCCGGCGTATAAGAAGAATCACAGTGGCTCCCTCTATGATTCCAGTAAGGTTCCGCTTGAGAAAGTGGATAGGAAACGTTGCTGCTTGGAGACTGAGCGTTTCGGTTGATGGAGTTATTGGGTGACATAGTGAAATTCGAAGCGTTAATGGCTTCGTAAATGGGGGAATCTTCCCAGAAAGGGGATTTAGTCGACGAATGGTAAGTGGGTGGAAACGTTCCGTGGCACAACTCATAACGAAATGGTGAAGTGCTATTAACGCCGTTTCTCGGAGATGTTGAGAACAAGAAATCTTCATTGAACAGAAAGTGAGGAATCGAACACAAGAAACAAGCAAGTGCGCACAACAGCGTCCCACCAGCTATCCATCGTGGTCGGTGCCCTAGTCCGCCATAATAGGTTAACAATAAAGCGCCACCTATCTGTCCACTCTCTGTGGCTGACATGACAATACCGGCCGTTTTACTTTGAATTTGGTAAAGTTTTTCTATTGTAGTCAGAACACTGACAAAGTATGTGTAGTACATTCCTTGGAGCACACTAGTTAGACAAAATACCACTAGGAACACTTTCTTATTGGCGAAAGGCTGGAGCCATTTCGGTCGACAAGACCAAAGTTCACAGTAGTACTTCTCTAACTCTTCGCAGTTTAGTTCCTCTCTAGCGCCACCAGGGTCGCTAAAGGCCTGAAGAAGTTTGACGTTGCTTTCTTCATGATGAACAGCTGATAGTTTGTGTCCACCGTTGACAATTTCACCGTTTAACTTCTTACTCTTCCCTTCTGGACTCGTGGGCCTAACACCTTCATTTTCAGGGTCGTTTTTGCTCTCGGTCTTCATGTTTGGAGACAATGAGCGCCACCTGTACCTTCTTTATACTTCATGGATGACTTTCCTGTAATACAATAAATAATATTTAATTTATTTTCCATTCAATTTACAGAATGTTATTAACAGAACAGTCTTAGTGGACACCTCTTGCGGGAATAATATTTTACAAACTACTCACAGGTCGGTGTCATTACTGCAAGACTTGAACAAGCAGTCACATCGTTAAATAAGTAAACTATTGTCGTTATCTGATATTGAGACTGGTTCTTCTTGTCGTCTAATTGGTCAACATGTATTTCTTCAAATATGATAAAAACCGACAACCCTAGCTCTGACCTTCACACAAAGTACAAGTACTGAAAGGAGTTTAAGTTGACATCAGCATGCAGAAGTTTCTACAGCTACATTCGTATGTAGAATAGTTTCACTATGAAGGTATAAACCAAGATAATAACAGTAACACCACAAGGGTTTCCTCTCAACGTGTTTTATTCAGTTAATCTATAATGACTGTAATTTGATCCAGAGCTACATTATTGAAGGTTTTTTATTCATACTTGACTGTTGTATATTAGAGACGACGAGTGTAAGTATTAAAAACGTTTCGACCTTCTAAGGTCATCTTCCGATTAACAAAGACAGTTTGAAATTGGGCACATATCTTAGGGACGAGTGTGAACAGGTACGAGATTGTAGGGGGCGTAGCAGTTAGATGTTAGGTGATTAATATAGGTATAAAGATATTCCTTTATGTTGGTTCAGTTTTTGTTTGAGTTCTTGCAGTTAGATGTTAGGTGATTAATATAGGTATAAAGGTATTCCTTTATGTTGGTTCAGTTTTGGTTTGAGTTCTTGTATAGGTAAGGCTTCTTTGATTTTTCGTTTGTTTGTCTTTGTTTCTCTACTTAATATGTTGGTGTTTTCTATGCTTATGTTGTGTTTATTTGTTTTCCAGTGTTTTTCTGTGTTCATTGAATCTGGTTTCCATTTTTTCAAACTTGACATAAAATAGGAACACGTTTTTTTTAACTTGTGGTGTTTCTTTCATTTCGAACTAATAAATCTTAAGTTATCTCTTGTCATAGAGAATTCCCTCGTGGCTCCGAGCTAAGTTTGACGGATTATACCGTTATATTTGTAGGTTCGATCCTCGTAGGGAACACCGAACAAACAAACTATTTATAGATTGACATCTTTTGGATTTTTGTTCTTTTTTACCTTTGATTTATTTTCTTCATTGGACCATCTCTAACCCTGTTATACATAGCTCAACTTTGTTGGTTACTAAAGGTTCGAAAGTCTTGTTGATGAAACGCTTATTTTAACTTGTTAAATTTCTTACTCTTTCTACTTATGCGCACACACACCAAAATGAAAGAGGATTGGTTAACAATATATATAACAAAAAAAAGAGACAACATTTCCAAATTTGAAGGTCAACCGTTTTTCTATTACTGTTATCCTCGCTGATAGGTCACTTTCCATGGATCCCACATACACATTTCATATATCACTATTTAGTTGAACAGAAAATAGAGACTGATCATGTGGCGTTTCAATGTATCAGAACAAAGATCTCTCCGACTTTCAAAGGGGTATGATAGTTGAGCCAGTCTAACAAAAAGTGTTAGTAGGAAGATGATACGTTTGCCACTAGGTATATCACTAACAATCGCTGGTGATTGGCTACAGGAAAACGTATTGTAAATATAAACATTGGTATCAAACCACGATAAGAGGTGAACACTGCCAGTGTTGGGACTATAACCTCTCTGAAATCGTTTAATGGGCTAGAGCTGTCTAATGTTCTCACCCTGCCTGGTTGTCTTCCTTCTTTTAGATATATTATATCTTGATAGGCTTCATTTATAGTTGGATAACACGTGTTAATACACTGTAGCTTCAGCTATACTTTGATAACACGTGTTAATACACTGTAGCTTCAGCTATAGTTTGATAACACGTGTTAATACACTGTAGCTTCAGCTATAGTTTGATGACACGTGTTAATACACTGTAGCTTCAGCTATAGTTTGATAACACGTGTTAATACACTGTAGCTTCAGCTATACTTTGATAACACGTGTTTAGCTGAAGCTACAGTGTATTTAGTTTGATAACACA